ACCATCAGTTTATTCTCTATATTTGTAGGTCTGATTCTGCTTATTCACTTGTTTTATTTTTTTAGATTACACATAAGAGTGAAATCATACATATTTGTCTTTCTCAGTCTGACTTCCTTCACTTAGCATAATACCCTCTGGGTCCATCCTTGTTGTTTCAGATAGCACAATCTTACCCTTTTTTTATTGCTATGTAATATTCCTGAGTGTGTGTGTGTGTGTGTGTGTGTGTGTGTGAGAGAGAGAGAGAGAGAGAGAGAGAGAGAGATCTTTCTTATCCATTTGTCAATGGGGACTTACATTGCTTCTGTGTCTTGGCTGTTATAAATAAGCTGCAATAAACATAGAGGTGCAAATATCTTTTTGAATTTGTATTTTTGTTTTATTTGGATAAGTATCCAGTAGTGGAATTGTTGGATCACATGATATTTCTATTTTTAATTTTTTGAAGACCTCATATTTTCCACAGTGGCTATACCAATATACATTCCCACCAACAGTGTACCTTTTTCTCTACATCCTTGCCAACACTTGTTATTTCTTGTCCTTTTTTATTTTAGTCATTCTGACAAGTGTGAGGTAATATCTCATTGTGGCTTTGATCTGCATTTCCCTGATGATTAGGGATGTTGAGCATCTTTACATGTTTCTGTTGGCCACTTGTCTTTTTTAGAAAAATGTTTATTTAAATCCTCTGCCTATTTTTAAATCAGATTGGTTTTTATTGTTGAGGTATATAAGTTCTTTCTTTATTTTGGATATTACCCCTTATTGGATATATCATTTGCAAATATCTTCTCCCATTTAGTAGGTCACCTTTTTGTTTTTGTTGACGGTTTCCTTCACTGTGCAAAAGCATTTTATTTTGTGAAGATACAAAAAATACAGATGCAAAGGAGTACATGCATCCCAATGTTTATAGCAGGATTATCAACAATAGCCAAAATATGGAGAGAGCCCAAATGTCCATCAACTGATGAATGGATAAAGAAGATGTGGTATATATATATATTATTCAGCTATCAAAAATAATGAAATCTTGCCAATTGCAACAACGTGGATGGAGCTAGAATGTAGCATTTAAGTGAGATAAATCAATCAAAGAAAAACAAATACCATATGATTTTACTCATATGTAGAATTTAAGAAACAAAACAGATGAACATATGGGAAGGGTGCGGGGAAGAAGAGAGGGAAACACACCACAAAAGACTCTTAACAATAGAGAACAGACTGAGGGTTGATGGGGGGGGGGGAGTGGGCTAGATGGGTGATGGGCATTAAAGAGGGCACCTGTTGTGATGAGCACTGGGTGTTATATGTAAATGATAAATCACTGAATTCTACTCCTGAAACCAATATTTCACTGTATGTTAACTAACCAAAATTTAAATTTAAAAAAAATTGATAAAAAAATAAAAATAAAATAAATAAGAATGTAGAAGATCTAAGCAATAATATTGACCAATTGAACCTAGTTGATAAACAGCTGATTTGGGGCCACCTGGGTGGCTCAGTTAAGTGCTCAACTTCAGCTCAGGCCAGAATCTCACAGTTCATGGGTTCAAGCCCTGCATCAGGCTCCATGCTGACAGTGCGGAGCCTGCTTAGGATTCTCTCTCTTTCTACCCTTCACTGATATTTTCTCTCTCTATCAAAATAAATAGATAAACTTAAATTTTTTTTAAAAAGCTGATTTTACTTCCTAAGTAAACTTGAAACATTAACCAAGATTGACAATATTCTGTATCATGAAACAAACCTCAGTAAATTTAAAACAGTTAAAATCATACAAAATAAATTCTCTGACCTCAGTGGAATGAAAATGAAAATGAATAACAAAGATTCCTGGAACATTACTAAATATTTGGAATTTAAATTGCACACATTTTAATAAACCTTGGGTCAAAAAGGAAATTACAAAGGGAATTAGAACT